AAGCCCCAGAGAGCAGGACAAGAAGGAATAGATCGAAGTTCATTAAAGAGAGATCCAGCCTAGCACTAAGGAGAAATATCCTGCCAGTGAGAACAATTAATCAGTGGAACAGTTTTCTTCTAGAAATTTTGGATGCTCCATTATTGGAGGTTTTCAAGAAGAGATTCTTTGTCTGGAATGGTTTAAGATCTTCTGTTTGAGCAAGAATTGGACTAGAAGACCTCCAAAGTCCCTTCTAATCTTGTTATTCTATGTTCTATATCAGAGGTCCCCAACCTTTTGGGCACCAGGGACCGTTTCCATGGAGAGAGGGTTTTCCGCGGACTGGAGGGTGCTTGGTTTTGTGTGCTGCTTGCATCCCATGGATGGGGCTTTGCTTGTTTGTGTGGATCAGTTGCTGGCATGCTGTGGCCTGATACTGGTCGATGGACCAGGAGTTGGGGAATCCTGTTTTATATTACAGCAATAACAATCAATATCTTCTAAGTACTAGGATGTAAACAGTGAGTATCGCTATTTATAGATTGAGTAGAAACTGGTCTCTACATTCTATATTGGAAAATACATCAACCTGACAATGTCATTATGTACTGCATTAAGACTGAGAACATACATATTTCCATTTGTATTGTTGCTTTTATCATGGTAGATTGCTCTGCTGCTGATACAGTTAATACCTCCATAGACTGACTTTGTAAAAAAATATAGCTATACAAGACTGAAGGAATCTGTAGGAACAATCATTCTTCTTGTTTGTTCTAATAATTATCATGTTATGGATGTGGTAATTGCTTTTTAAGTAAGATAAATTTCCTGCTTTTGACACTGAAACAGCTATAAATTTCTATATCCTGTTCTCACTGAAAATCTGGAAAGAAAATAATTTTATTATGGTTTCAGGAATATAAATTTTGAGATCCTATTTAACTAACTGAAACCAATGAAGTATAATGCTTAATTTTTAATGGATCATGCTCTTTATTTTATCCTGACATGAAATTTTACAGCCCAAGGTGTTGTAGAGAAGCTGCTTGAGGAATATATTCAATGTAATATTGCATCAGTTATGTGTGTGTGTGTATACACACACATACAATGAGAAAGAGAGTTGTCATAGGATATTGAAAAGCTTAGTAACATGAAGATTCTGCAATTCAATAGATACTTATAAAAGTGATTAGAATGGTCTTCCCTGAGCTAGGAAAGAGGAGTGAGCTTTCAGAAACTCTTCAAAATACTTTCAGAACATCTGGAGATCCTTCCCTTATTTCCTAGGTTCTTGATTACATCTCCTGATCATCCAAGGATGTTTACAAAGCTAATAAAAAAAGCTCCACTCTAGCTGATAGTCTTTGCTGACATTTGTGGAACATGCTTTTTTTTTTTTTCCCTGAAGAGCTCTGCAAAACTTGGGTATAGATGGCTGTCAAGAGTTTGACATGAATATTCATTCTGGAACTGAGTACATGTATTGTTACAATGTGCAAAACTCCAGAGCACATAACTTAGATGCCTTCCTGGTTCCTGGCCAAGAAAGAGGCCAACTTATACATCATCTGAGAGGTTTGCAAAATTTCTAGTGTCTTTCCAGTTTCTAGCTTCTGCCATTTATTTTGAGGTTGAGAGATCAGAGACGTTTTCTTCAAAACATAGTGGGCTTTTTAAAATAATGAATTCATGCTAAAGAGTCGTAATAAACTCTTTGAAAATGCATATTTTGCATTTTAATAAAAATAAAAAAACCTCAACAATTATATATATAATGACTTTTCAGAAATTTTCAATGAAGAATAACTACGTTTTATTGTAACTATATAATCTACATCTGAAAGCAATTTCTTCATAAATCACAAGCTACATCAAGTCCTCAGTTCACAGAGTAATGAGGGCCATAAATTTATCTTTCCCACATTGAAGGGCTAGCTCCTTAACAAAAAGAAGAACACAATCAATCCATTTCCATCATCCAGCTGTCAATTTCCATGTACTACGTATATAATTCAAAATAATATGGGGATTCAAAAATATTAAATTTTTTCTCAAAGTCAAATAAATGTAAATTATTACTTCTTCCCTGAATAGGACCCAGCAAAAACATGTGTTAAGTGTTATTCTTGCTGCATGTTCAGGAGCACAATGATTTGCTCACTGCTATTCTGTACAAATGTGAAAGGGTCTAATAAATCCAAATGATTGTTGTTGAATAAACTGTACTCTAAGGACCATCCAAACTATAATGCAATCTGCTTAATAAAATTAGCAAATTATACTAATTGGATAAAATATTATCTAGTTTGAATACCTTTGATAAAACAATGTAAAATGTAAAGCTCAAGCCAATGGAGCCTGGAATGATATTAGTAAAACTGAAATTTTGAAGTTGGCACCAAAGCACAACCAAAGATATGTAGGCATTGATCATGACATTTATATATCTCTCTTTTTTAAAAAACAAGTTTTATTAATTTTCCATTTTTACAAACCTTCGAGTATTTAAGGAAGCAACATGGTGGTTGGGTAATACATAGTCCAATAACACACTTATCCATACATTTATCAGTTTACATCATCAAAAATTTCCTCTCTGTTTCCCTTAGTCATTATACCAAATGCAAATTAGTAGGTTGCTAGTTATAACTCAATCATTTAAAACATTTATAAACAACTTTTAGATTATATATCTCCAAATCCTGTTTTTGACTTTTTTCTGGTTTCAATTAGAATATTCCAGTTGGCTTACTGTCCAATAAAGTTTAAGTTTCAGATAGCCCACGGTTCCCTTAATTCATACAAAATAATATCATATCTAAAATACATTTATTATTTATTCCAGCAAATTCTTAATTTATTTCACCATCATATTCTAATTCTCATTTTAATATCATCGCTTATTCTAAATCCATCTTCTATTTATAATTCAAAACAATTATTTAAGTAACTAATTTATTTCCCTTATAGATATAAATCCTAACTATTAAATCCAATAATATCTTTTAAAATCTCCTTCTGTTGTTTTTTGAAGTGTGGATTCCTCTAATGGGGTTAAAGTTGCATTTTGTGGCTTTAAAGTGGCACATAAGTCTTTGATACTAGAATTCATTAGCTCAGTAGCCTCTAAATTTTTTTCAAGTATAAGTTTGACACTAGACTGTGGGTGGTATTCCTCCATTTCTGTAATGTTTACAGTCCTTTAGTGGAGGCTATTTTTAATAAGAGTCAATAATTGTTCACCTCCTCTATAAAGAAATATTTTCACCACCCAACTGTTTCAATTTCTTATCTTTTGGTTGCTGTCAAGGACGAATTTTAGTCTCAGAGATCTCCCAGTCAGAAAAAATTTGTTCCACTTGCTGTACCACATTTGACCACTAGATGTCCCCAGTGACATACAAAATAGGGCTTTTTTCCAGTTCAAGAGAGGAAATAAAGAACATTCCTTCCCCTCCCCCCCAGTTAACAAAAAAGTAAAGCAGTAAGTTTTTATCTAGATACAGAGCTTTTAGGGAGCCCAGGTATCCAGCTATTACAAGTCCAGGTAAGTGGTCATTTAATCTTGTTGTTCCTTTTTTTGTGTGTGTATTTCTTGCTTTATGTTCCCGGAGTGAACAAAAGCCGCGGAATTCAGCTGGGGGAAAGGGGTATTTCAAAATTTTTTTACGGGAAAATAGTTGGGAAGGAGAAAAGGAAAAATAGGGTCTCACCCAACTCCTCCAGTTGCTTTTTCATGCTTAGTTGGTGCTTGGGCTTTCGGCTGGTTGGACTAAGTGAGCGGCCATGTTAATGGCTGCTCTTTTCCTCTTCGGTCCTGAGGAGTTACTGCAGATCAAATGGAGAGGCTGCTGCCCTTCCGCGATCCAGGAAGAGTCCCCCCCCAACAGTAGTCTCCCCTCCAGGGTGACTTTTGACCCTTTCCAGGATCTTCAGAAGGAGAAAAACCGGACGGTGGGGAGAGGGATCTCTCTGCGTGTCCACCAGTGTCGAAAACCGGAACTGGAAGGGGGCTGTTAGGAAGATCGAGTGTGAAGGGAAGTCAGATAATGCGAGTGTTTGCAGGATGTCTGCAATAGAACCTCGGAGGAGAGAGCAAGAACATGATGGTGATGGATGCCGAAAGGGTGTAGGGGAGAGGAAATTCAGCTGTGCAGAAGGTTCCAAGGGAGTGAAAGAGCGGGGGAAGCAGCTTAATGATGATGATTACATACTGGATTGGGGAAAGATCAAATGCCCTCTTGAATTACAGAGATAGAGAGGTGGGAAAATGAAAGCTAGTGCGCATGTGGATGGGGGGAATGAAGACAAATTGGATGATTGTCTAATGATTGATACAGGTACAACGATTGGCCGGTTAGGACCTGTTACACGATCCAGGAGCCTGGCGCAGGTGCTGGCCTGATTATAAATGTCTCTCCCATTGATTCTTTTGTACCTTGATGATGTTGGCAGGAGCCAACGAAAGCTAGGTCTGCTTTTTTAAAAAACTTTAAAATGTTTTATATTTAAACTTTTAGCGTTTTATAAAACTTTTAATGTTTTACTTCTTCCTGGTGCTCACGTTTTGTTTCTCAACATGCACACACCCAGGAGTCATTCTTTTATCTTTAGCATTATTTCTAATATCTATCTATCTATCTATCTATCTATCTATCTATCTATCTATCTATCTATCTATCTATCTTAAGGGGCAAAGAAAAGTAAAACTTTTATAGCAATAGCACTTAGACTTATATACCACTTCACCTTTACAGCCTGATCACAGAAGGATGGAAAGCTGAGTCAACCCTGAGTCAGAATTAAACTGCTGGCAATCAGCAGATTTAGCCTGCAATACTGCATTCTAACCACTGCACGACCACAGCTCCTTATAGATATTTAGATCTAAATCAGAGCTATTTTCTTGTAAGGGTTAATGGCAGCAGACTGGAAACTGGAAAATTGTGAATTCTAGTTTTGCATTACAATGAACCCAACTTGGTGACCTTGAGCTAATAACTCTCTCTCAGCCCTAGGAAGGAGACAGTGACAAACCAAAATCTTGCCAAGAAAACTGCAGAGACTTTTCCAGGCAATCTTCAGGAATCAAGACCAAATCAAGGTCTAATTATATTTAAGTTTATAGATGTCTAATAATTTTATAAATTAAGTTTCTAATATATATAAGTTTCTAATTACATTTAGCCCACAGTGAATAAAAGATGCCATTTTTGCATTTCCTGGACACTAACCCAACATTTTCTAGCAATCTGCTGAATCAGATCAAGACAACCTTCTCGAGATGGCATCTCCATCTTTAGGTTAAACTTCACATTTTCTTATTTCCTGCCACCTTATGGTCCAAACAAACCTGGAAAGTGCTACGCTAAGAAGTTTGGTATAGGACAAAGAAGGGAATAATATTACAATACAGTTTATTGGTAAGAGAGTTGAGAATCAGCTGCTTTTTGCCAACCCGCCCAGGCAAAGCAAATGTTTTATAAAAATTGGATTCAGCTGCTATTATACACACTTTGTTTTTCCTTTTAGAAAGGAAATATTTGGGTCATTTAAGGGAAACATCACCCATTTTTCCCCCCTGTGATGATTCTTTCCAGTGTTTAAAAGTGAATAGGGGAATAACCTTTGAATAGAAAATAAGCAAACAAAAGTTTTCTATTACCTTGCTTCCATTATATTTTGAGATTTAAATTGCTTTCTTTACATCTATCCACCATCCCATAGCCTGTTGTTCTTGGTGGATTGTTTATGATAATATCTTAGCATGGGATTATATATACACATGTTGAAAAGTGTGCTCATTTTACACACAATAACTGGAAGGGTTTCTACAGACTTTTCTTCCTCTCACCCTCCTCCTATTCTCTATTCTAATCAAAATCAAACTGCTTGTTCTTGGGGTATTTTTGTTTAGTTCTTAGAATTGAGTGAAAAGAATAAGGAATGTTTGGCATTTGTGGGAAGAAAAATATCCCAGAAGCTCAAATGTCTGGATTCCATAACTTCAGTAAAAGTAATGGTTCCCCCAGTGCCTACATAACCATAAAAGGACTTTAAAGAGACGCTGCTTTAAGGAGCTGCTTTACATTCCTCAAAACATTTGGTTTGAAATAATACAGATATATTTTCAGGGCCTAGCACCTGGTATCTTTGTAACTCAGGGCCCAGGTAGCACCCATTTCTGATACCTGTTCAGGTTCTTCCATTGAAAAACAAATGATGGACTTTGTTGCTCCAAGTGCACAAAAGTAATTATAATCCTCATGGATTGAGCCAGAGATGCATAACCCATGATCTGTAGGCCATCTAGATTCTAGATTATGTCTGAAAGGGAGCCCCCAAAACTATACTGTTAGAAGTAATTGTCATATGCTTTTATACTTGGGGAACAAGAGAAGTAAAATAGATGTGACCATTTCACCTATTTACCTTTATAAACTTGCAAGAAAATATTTAAGAGATATATACCTCCCGAGACTGCATAAAACCAAAGTTCTTCTAATCTAGTACAATCTTCTGTTTTTATAGTGACCAATTAGAAAATCCTGAGACAAAACATTAGTTCAATCACTCAATCCGGTTTTCTAAAGGTTAATGTTTTGTGGGCTGCAATTTTAATGGACATGTGCATGATATGAGTTAGATATCATATTCATTTCCCACAATGCCCTTGAAGTAGCATCACTCTGAGTGTTCATGGTAAATTTTTACTGCAGCTGAATTTAGCAATCCAGTACAGATTGATTGCTGAGACTGGGCCTACCACTAAGGACCAAGGGTGCTCAGAAGGCAGGAGTCCCATTATATTGCCCAGTACGTTTGGAGCCAGTTCTTTGCAGTTGCACAGTTCTAAGCTTATTTTTCTTTTGTCTTTGCTGTTCTCCTATTGTAGGCAAATAAAACTCCACAGATTGATTACTTATTTATTGGCTTATTTCTTTCCAAATTTTGTTGTACAGATTTTCTATAACTAATTTAATTAATGAAATTAATTAACTGAATTGAAGTGTAAGGTACCAAAGCTTTTAGTTGAAATGTATTTTTTCTGCCTCTTAAACCTATCCAATGGAATACATGCCTGCATTGGTAAAATCCTGAATCTTCTCTACTTTGTGTGACCAAGATTTGTTTCTGTGGTATGCTACATTCTATGCATGTGCTTTTGATCATTGGTGAATTAATATAATACAAAATGAAACATTATATTATATGCACATTTCATTATCTTTTAAAACAAAATTATCTTACTGATGAACTTATACACATTGATAATGCTGGATGGAAATGAACATGAATCAACTGAATGTTGTGTCTCAGTCGGTCCTATGACAATGTTTTTTTTACAGTATAGTTTGGCACAAATGATTTGCCGGAATTCTTCTGAGAAAGTTGTGAGCAAACAAATTGAGTGGACAATTACTTTAATCTTCTCTAATGATGCAGAAGTTCTTCAGCAATGTCATTGTCATGGTTCCGACAGATGAAACTCTTCAAAAGAAGAGGCATTGTTTACTTTAAAGAATCTTTTATTTGAGAAACAAAGTATTGGCACTACATAGTTTAAACCAAAAACTAAATTCCCCTCCCCCTAGATACAAAGTAACAAAGCACAATTCCTTCCTCCAATAAACAGTCATAAATCACATTCCCCAATTAAGCTTGAAGTGCGGGCTTTCTCCCCAGCTCTCCAGCCTGCCAAAACTCTATCAACTTTGGGCCCAATGACCTTAGGTTCCTACGGCTGAGATTATTGTTATGACTATCTGGACTTTCATCCACATTTCCCCTCCCACCATCAAAAAAGCAATAGAGGAAAATGGCTGCATTTCCATCTGTTGTCAAAGCCAGAACATCTGATGTTAGCAGCGTTGACATCCATGTAGACAGGACTTTGTCTTAATAGAAATAGTGGCATCAGTAATAAAATTGCCCAGGGAGAGGATTTTTCTCATGAAGTCTTTTCTTAGAACTTAATTGAAGTGTGTGTAGCCAAGAAAGATGCAGACCACAGAAGAGTTAATTATAGAGTGAACAGCATAACATTCTCACATACAGTTTCTCTCAGACATTTTCTAACCCTATAAATGCAGGAGCATTTCACTCCACCCACAAGAATGTAGTTGAATATTCTCTATTGCTTTGAAAGAATTTCTAAAACATGTTTATCTATTTTGCCTGAAAAAAATGCTAGGAAATTTCTTAACTTAGCACTATCCAGAAGTAACTTTCATTAAACTCAGCAGTTAATTTTAAATATATATGCTTAAACTATATTACCAAATATCTTACATTCCAGAACTCTGTATATTGATATATGTAATTTTCATTTTATTTTGGAAATAAGGCCATGTGATTCAAAAACTAAAATTTAGAGGGAATTTTAATCAGGAACTGTAATTCTAATCATGTTGTCACAAGGCTAGGCAGTTTGGCAGTGGACAACAGCATGTGCTGAATTCATCTGATTAGATCTTGGCTTATAATAATAGATAAACCAATGGTTGCAGTTCTCCTTGAGTATCAATGGCAGCTGAGATGATTTACATGGACTTTAACAGATTCTGTTAGTAACTGTATTGCCAGCTAAGCCTGGAACAGCATAGCTGAACATCAGTGTGGTGTAATAATAATGGTTGATGGTCAGAATAGGAAAAGGCTTCCTTGCGGGAAGCAATTATCTTACTAATTCTACAGTATAGTCACTATTCCCCACAAATTAAAGCTAGAAATATAATATATGGGTTGCAAAAAACAGGTTATGCAACAGATGGCAGCAGAGAGATAATAATTTGCAGCTGTTCTAATGGTTTTCTGAATTTTTCTATTCCCAAACTCAAGGAGAAAGCCCATCGAGGAACCTGAAAAATTTGAAAGCCCGATGCCCTAATTAGGCTGATTCCTTTGAACTATCTTCCCAATACTCCCTATGATTTAATCATAAATTCTTCAAGTCAGCAACAATATCAATGATTGTATACAATATGTTGCTTTAAAGGCAAGTTATATTACAATTTAATGCATATTTTGCAATGGCTCTTCCAGAATTTTTTAGCCTTGATCACATAAAAGCCGGATCAAGATCAGAACATTAGGTATTTACAGCAAGGGAATCAATTCTTCTTTCAGACTCTCAGTTTAAGAAAACGTAAAATACTGTGTCTATTTACTTATTTCTTAGAACTAAGGGATTAAGCCCCATTAGGGTTAGACCTCTGTGTGCTTAGTGACTGAGGAACAATGAATATTAAATAAGAAAAATAATTTTTGGAATGTTCTTAAATGACACAACTAATTAAAGGTCAATATATTTATGTGTGCTATGTATTTTACTTCTATTATATATTGTTATTATTGTATTTGTTAACCAACCTTCAACTCCATATTTGGGAATACATTTGATAATCCAAGTTTATTCACTTGATTGCATGATTTTGTAAATCAATTTTCTCATATTAATACATTTACTAATGGCTTGCTAAGAAGCAAATATTTGGTTTATACATCCCCCGCCAATGCTCCACTGCCCAAATATTGTAACTTCTTGATCTCTTATGAGACATATTCTACCAAGCAGCAAACACTTGCCTTTTGTTTGATTTATATACCACCAGGGGTTCAAGGCAACATGCACTGTACTGCTTTCTATACTTCTCTCCCCACAGCAACAATTTTGCAAGTTTGGGTGATCTGAGATAGGGTGATAAGCCCAAAGTTATTTAATGGGGTTCCATTCCATATGGATTTGAACATGACAGGCCAGATAGGAAACGCAAGCAGATACGCAAATTCTACTTTATTGTAAAATTACATTAAGTGAATCTTGTAGCAGTAGCAATATTACTTAGACTTATATACCTCTTCACAATGCTTTACAGCCCTTTCTAAGTGTTTCACTGAGTCAGTATATTGTCCCCAACAATCTGGGTCCTGTTTTATCCACCTCGGAAAGATGGAAGGCTGAGTCAACCTGGAGCCCGTGAGAATCGAACTGCCAAACTGCAGTAGGCCAGCAGTCAGCAGAAGTAGCCTGCAATACTGCATTCTAATCATTGCACCACCATGGCTCTGAAAGTACAGATTGAGAAATTAGATTTCCTTCTGATCCTCTTTCTCTGTCCATTATTATTTTTTTTCAAAAAAGTTTTTATTTTCCAATTATCAATTACATAAACAAAAAAGAAGAAATTTCACATTTAACAAGATAAAATAAATACACCTAGATGTCGCCTGCCCATCCCCCCGAAACTGCATCCGCCCTCTCTTATACTCTCCCTTACTTCCCTCCTCCTTCTCCCTCCCCTCACCTCTCTCTCCCTTCCCCCTCTCCTCTCACCATCCTACTTCCTCCCAAACCTTTCTCCTCCTCTCTCTCTCTTTCTCTGTCCATTATTGTGGACTATGGCCTCTCTTATCTCAACATTTCCTAGGTTGCAGCTTTCCAACCTGCTTCTCAGGGTCTTTTCCCCATACAATTATAGAACCTTAACTTCCTAATCCCAGTTTAGCACTATCATCACATCATTCACTGACTCTTTAGTAACAATACAATTTAGCAAACATACTATTTGCCTGGCATCTCTAAGTTATGGGAAGAGAACTTAAATACAAGGTAATTTATTTGATCTTCCTATATCAAAATACTTCTGATGTAGCTTTAAATGAGCACACAACACTTCGATTTTTGTATTTAACATGACGGGATCCTTCAAGCACTGCTAATGTCATATTTTTCTGAAGGTGTTATTTATTTATTTATTGTTACAGAGGAAGTGATCATAGATTTCCTTCCAGTATCTTGAAATTACAACTGTATTGGCGTTTTTGATAATACAAAAACAAATATTTGCAAATGAAAATATCCAGTTGGTAGGCAGTTTAAAAAGAATGGAACAAAACTTAAGGGCCACAGGCAAAAGAGACTAAATTGCACACCAAGTATTAAAAGCTACAAACCTGGATTATATTTCCATGAAATAAAGGTTACCTTATTTTGGTATCCTATGGCAAGAAAAAGCAAAGAATTTGGAAAAAAAAGTCTCAGTATATCAACTTTTATTATAATTATGCTTTTGCATGTGGGAGGAGCAGAATTAAAATTGGATGAAGCTAAAAATATTGCATGGTTTCCTGAGATTTAAACTTCACATTGTTACAAAATCTTAGGTGAAAAATAAACTGTAATTGCTTCTGACATTTCTCTTGCTATGTGAAATGGAAATTTTCACAGAACTGCCAAAAGACAGAAATAATAAGGAGCTGATAAAGGCAGATAGGGATTCTTTACATTTCCTGTTTTTCAGAAACCTGTTTTATTCTTGTTTATCTGTGACAGGGGGAAGGAATCAGACTCTGCTGAGAGAAAACACCACGCATTGAGTGAATAGAGGGAGGCAAGGCTATCTATGGAGTATGAAGAAATGATAAAACACAGTGGCCATTACAGTAGCTGCACATCGTGTTCAGACTATGGCTTGCAATTCCTACAATGATTTTTAAAGCTTTTTATTCTAGTGTCAGCTCCACTCAATGTTTCTCAAAAGAGAATGCAAGGAAAGGACCTTTAAGCCTCCTCACTCCAGCACTGCAATTAGCAAGGAAAAAAAGCCATCGTCGTCGTCATCATCATCATCATCATCATCATCATATTTTCATAGTGCTAAATCAAGCACTGAACCTGGAATGACCTTCCTTCCTTCCTTCCTTCCTTCCTTCCTTCCTTCCTTCCTTCCTTCCTTCCTTCTTCCATTCCTCCCTCCCTCCCTTTCTTTCTTTCTATTCCATGATTTCCTCCCCTCTTTTCCTCTCCAAAATCCTCCCTTCTTCCAGATATACTTTATAAAATCTTTTGATCCGACTATAAATCTTTTGATCTGCACTGATAATAAAAGATGACCAACCTTTGTGGTGTTAAGTTCCTAATTATTGCGGTAGAATCTGAGATTAGAAAGATGAAGCTTCTGCCGATTGTTTAAATCTTGAAGGAATCTGCAGCATTTAAAGACAACGATCTTGAATCAACCTGAAAAAATGAATGGCCTGGAATGACAGGGTTTTCCACCTGTGACAAAAAAATTATGTAATATTTTATGAGCTATAGGACATCACCTTATAAAAGGTTTTTTTAATATGTAGATTTTTTTTGAATTACAGCAATTAATAATGTTGAACTAAGTAAGAACATAGCGATGTTTCTTTGATTTTTAATAGCAAAGGGGCAAAGAAATCTATATGTAGATTAAAAAATCTAAAGCAACAACGTTTAAATAATTTTAAGCAAATCAGGGTATCCCTGACCACCTTCTTTACACAAAGATACACAAACAAAACCTTTGGTTGTTAAGGCAACTCAGAAACCTGTTTTCAAATTAGCATTTCGAACGATCCCTGTTAGTATATTTTTAAGCTTATAAGTCTTTAAATTTATAATAATTCCTGCCAATGCCACTTCAACATTGGCTGAATATTGGTTTTGGGAGAAATGGAAAACCTAACTTTTGGCACCTCCTATCTTGTACCTCAAAAAGTGTGGAGAAATATAAGAGGTAAAACTTTCTTGGCGCAGAAAATTCTGTCATTGCTAAATTTCTGCTTTATATTCAGTGACAAAAGAAAATTATTGTCCTGACAAAAGAAGTTGTCTAACTCCACTGATGAAACATATTAATCTGGGTATTTTCACTGACAAATTATGCATTGGCATTGACAACCTAATTAATTCGTACATCATTCACTTGAGGTTTTTGTTGTTTAACTGAAAACAACAGGCATTTACGATTTGCATATATTTGTAGCATGAATTAATATGCATAAAACATAGAAACCAGCAGAAAATTCTAACAGTCACATTTGTGGCCCTCATCCTGACATTGTAGGTTGACTGTGAACAGCTAGGAGAAAAGGAAAAGAAAGAATATTGCTTGAACAGCCTTTGCAGACTATGAGAAATATTAATAAGTGGGTTATCCAGTGTGCTTCTTTCATGAATTTTGCAGGAGGTTAGACACGCTTCCCAGCTATTGCAAACTGCATTAGTTTAGAGGAAAAAATTTCTCTTAGATTTGGTTAGTCATACAAAATGTCATTTAATTGGTTGGCTTTGATGATTGCAATCTAGCACAACAGAGTCAGGATTAAAAGTAGTACACTTCTTTGTAAAATGTAGAACGAAACATATAATAGATTGATAGCAGATGGAGTTGCCAATGGCCAAAAGTCTTAATGGATATTCCCTACTGACAGAATCAAAAGCAACCTACCAGTTTAAATACCAGCTGCTAGAGACTATGGAAGAGGGTGACCATCTTCTCAGAAAGTCCATTTTATATCTAGCTAATAATTTAAACTTACGTTGTTTTTTTGAGCAGACCCTGCCCTTTTTGAAATATAGTTTTGGAAAAGTATAGCACATACCCACCTATATGTCCATAGAAATATAGATGTCTCTCTCTGCCGTTATCTCTTTCTCTTTCTCACACACATACACACACACTTGAACATCCTGGATTATTTTCAGCCATAGTTGACAAATAGGTTGACAAGATTTGGAAACTGGGGACTGATTAGGATTTTTGCCTGTGTTTTAATTCTTTTCTGCCTACTCTTCCTTTTAGGGAAAATATTTTAACTTTACAGTTTTCTTCCTTTTGAATAGATAATTGCAAAATCAGAAGGAATGCATTCTTGCCATCTGTATGGAAAATATCTTGCATGGGATTTTTTTTTCCATATATGAAAGTTCTGTGGTACTACCCTTGCACTACCAAACCTCTGAAGAAAGAACTTACCGTATATTCCGGCGTATAGGGCGACCCGGCGTATAAGACGACCCCCGAGTTCGACGCCGGGTCGCAAGACGATCAACGCTAAGTCCACGATGATCGACGCCGAGTCGCATATAAGACGACTTTCTAGGCATGCGACTTGGCATCGATTGTCTTATACGCCGGAAACTACGTTATTTCCGGCGTATAAGATGATCGACGCCGAGTCGCATGCCTAGAAAGTCGTCTTATACGCCGGAAATAACGTAGTTTCCGGTGTATAAGACGACTTTCTAGGCATGCGACTTGGCATCGATTGTCTTATACGCCGGAAATAACGTTATTTCCGGCGTATAAGATGATCGACGCCGAGTCGCATGCCTAGAAAGTCGTCTTATAGGCCAGAAACTACCTTATTTCCGGCGTATAAGACGACTCGGCGTATAAGACGACCCCCGAGTTCGGAGGCTGTTTCATCGCTCTCAAAAGTCGTCTTATACGCCGGAATATACGGTATATTAAAAACTTTGTCTTCTGTTGATATAAGGATTAATTTAATTTATTCAGTGAGTACTTCTAACAATACACAAGCTTTTGCGGAATGTTGCTAGGGACTGTTTTCCTTCTGCGTATGGTTTTATGAATTCAATCCACAGTTTCCAATAAGAATGTTGCTTGGGTTTTTTTTTCCATTTTTAATTTTCTAGAAAACATTTCACAACAATTGTTCATCTTTGCCTTTGCTAATTGTCTCTGTGCTTATTTTGGACAAGGAGCTGTGTGGAAAAGAGCTGATGTAGTTCCCATCTTCAAAAAAGGGAAAAAAATAGACCCAGGAAATTACAGACCTATCAGCCTGACCTCAATACCTGGGAAGATTCTGGAAAAGATAATCAAACAACGAATCAGCGAACAAAGTCATTACTAAAAGCCAACATGGGTTTGTCAAAAACAGATCATCCCAGACAAATCTTATTGCATTCTTTGACCAAGTGACAAAATTAGTGGATCAGAGGAATGCTGTGGATATAATTTACTTGGACTTCAGTAAGGCATTTGGTAAAGTAGATCACAACCTACGACTTGATAAGATAGAAAAATGTGGGTTAGATACCACCAGATGGATTTGTACCTGGCTAACTGGCCATTCTCAGCATGTGGTCCTCAATGGAACCATATCTACATGGAGTAGTGGGGTGCCCCAGGGCTCTGTTCTGGGCCCAGTGCTCTTCAACATCTTCATCAACGAATTGAACGAGGGGATAGATGGGGAACTCATCAAATTTGTAGACGACACCAAGCTGGCAGGAATAGCCAACACTCCAGAAGACAGGCTTAGGATACGAGGATCTAGACAGACTTGAACACTGGGCGCTATCTAACAAAATGAAATTCAATGGTGAAAAAAGTAAGGTTCTACATTTACGCAAGAAAAACCAAATGTACAGGTATAGTATAGGTGGTACCTTGCTCAATAGTAGTAACTGTGAGACGGATCTCGGAGTTCTAGTGGACAATCAATTAAATGTGAGCCAGCAGTGTGCTGCAGCTGCTAAAAAAAACAACACAGTGCTAAGCTGCATTAACAGAGGGATAGAATCAAGATCATGTGAATTATTAATTCCACTTTACAATGCCTTGGTAAGGCCACACTTGGAATACTGCATCCAGTTTTGGTCACTATGATATAAAAAAGATGTTGAGACTCTAGAAAGAGTACCGAGAAGAGCAACAAAGATGATTAGGGGACTGGAGGCTAAAACATAAAAGGAACGGTTGCTGGAATTGGGTATGTTTACTTTAATGAAGAGAAGGACTAAGGTGACATGATAGTAGTGTTCCAATATCTCAGGAGTTGCCACAAAGAAGAGGGAGTCAAGTTATTTTCCAAAGCACCTGAAGGCAGGACAAGAAGCAATGAATGGAAACTAATCAAGGAGAGAAGCAACCTAGAACTAAGGAGAAACTTCCTGACAGTTAGAACAATTAACCAGTGGAACAACCTGCCTCCAGAAGTGGTGAATGGTCCAACACTGGAAGTTTTTAAGAAGAGAATGGACAGCCATTTGTCCAAAATGGTATAGGATTTCCTGCCTGAGCAGGGGGTTGGACTAGACGACCTCCAAGGTCCCTTCCATCATTATTATTATTGTTATTATTGTTGTTGTTATTATTATTGTTGTTGTTGTTGTTGTTGGGAGAAGACATTTTAAACAACCATAACTGTTCGCTTCTCTGAACATGGTGCATTAGATGCAACCTGGATTTCTTTATTTTGTTGAATGTGTCAGAGATGCAAGTTTAATGGTGTGGATTCTTAAACACTTCATGGTGGCTTCAAGAGGTCATGGGTTGTAGAAAGACAGTGAAGATGTACTGTATGGTCCTTCTTTCTCTGTCTAGTTTTATTGGTCAATGACTGAGATAAAGTTTCTGTTTGTCTTCTTTCCCTAACACTCTACCTACTCTTTATAAGAGATTGCTAATCCCAGATCACTCTCTTCTGCCTTTCTCCCCAGCACTCCCCCCCCCCACAACACATGGTCTTGGACTTTCCTCCAGATAAGACCTTGAGAAGGCTAGAGTAGGTTTTGTCTATCCCTTTAATGTATTTCTTGTAAATAAATTTTATTTCCAAATATACAGGTAGTCCTTGATTTAGAACCACAATTGAGCCCATAAATTTATGTTGCTAAGTAGAACATTTGCTAAATGAGTTTTGCCCCATTTTACAACTTTTCCTGCCACTGTTGTTAAGTGAATCATTGCAATTGTTAAGTTAGTAAAACGGTTGAATCTGGCTTCCCTATCGACTTTGCTTGTCAGAAGGTCGTAAAAGGTGATCACATGACCCCAGGACACTGTGCAATTGTCATAAATATGAACCAGTTGCAAAGCATCCAAATTTTGATCATGCTGCAATGGTTGTAAGTGTGAAAAATGGTCAAAAGTCACTTTTTTCAGTGCCGTTGT